TCTATGCTCCCTGAACTGTGTATCGACTTACACTGAACGTTCAGTGGCACGGGTTGAGATTCTGCACTGCCAAGAAGATTCTGGACCCTGCAATGGTAGATGCCCGAATTTCTGGGCTTGATGTCCAAAAAAACCAACTCCCTCTGAGTGATATGTTGCAGAATCTCCCCGTCTTTATCCCACGTGTAGTTCTGGATAGGAGGGTTTCCTTGGGAAGAACATTGCAAAGTGACGTGGCTGTTCTCTTTTATGGCTCCTTCAGGTACCTGGCGCAGATAAGTATTCTTGGGTGGATCTGGGGGCAGGGAGGAGAGATATTGGCAGAGAAGCATTAATTTCTGGTCTTGCCGAGTTGACTTCCCCATACTTGGGGTGTTTCTCACTGAACAAAGCATAATGCGTGCATGGCACAGCCAAGCGTGGTAAATTTGCCAGCCCTTAGGCAGGGAGGCTGAGGACTGGGGTACCGAGGTGCAGTGGTACCTTGGCTCACGAACTTAATCCTTTCCATGACCTGTCGCAGCCCACATTGGTTGTGAGCCAAGTCAAATTTCCCCATAAAGTCCAACGTAAATAAGGTTAATCTGTTTTATAAGATTTTTTTAAACTCACAAAAATTTAAAGCAAAGTGAATAAGAACAACAGAGATCGCAACCATCTCCCCCACCCACCAGTGGTCATGTGGGGGGGGATTTCTGCGATCGTGCTCGGGGGTGGGGGTGAGAGGGACGCAATCGTGGTTGCACTCATGCAGGGAGCAGCGGCGTGATTGCGGGCATCTCCCTCCTCCCAGCTGGATTGTGGCCATCTCCCCCCCCACCCAGCACAACTGTGATCGTGCCCATGCAGGGAGGGCGGGCACAATCATGATCGTCACCGGATGCACAGTTAGCAACCTCTGGCAAAATTTTCATGAAATCTCTGTTTGCGGCCCGATTTGGTCATGACCTGAGGCGTTCGTGAGGCGAGGTACCACTGTAATTCTACACTCTGCACCTCCTGATCTCCAATCCTTCCTCGACAGGGATCACCCCAGCAACTTGGTAATTTCTGTCGCCCTTTTCTGCATTTCCCCAGCTCTACAATGACTGTTTCCAGTCCCGTGAGTGGAACAGCATGTGGTCTGATCTTGGCAGCCATATTTTCCATCCTTTCCTGATTCTGCCTAACCTGGAGCTTGCCTTCTTCACAGTCAATGGAGTCTGTGCAACTTGGGAAAGGCCTTAGAAAGCTGAACAAATATGAGTCTGCGGCAATTTCTCCAACACCCCAATATATATTATTCTCAACTTCTCAGGATCCTCCCCCAAAAGCTGTCCAACGTCTTTTGCCCCTATGTGCTGGGCCATGTAGTGGGCAGCTAACCC